AGTTTGCTTGGCTCCACAGTCAATACTCCTGGTATCAGCAGCCAGGAAATCAAAAGACATATTGTGATGGGAAAGTCTACTGTTAGAGACCTCTCCAAAATACTGAAGAGCAATGGTGTCACTCTGGAGACTAAGGTGTGTCTGATACAGTCCATGGTCGTTGTAATCACTTGCTATGTGTCAGAGAGCTGGACAATGATTAGGGAGGATAAAAGGAAAATTGACACCTTTGAGCTGTGGTGCTGGAGAAGAGTACTGAGGGTACCATGGACTGCTAAGAAAACGAACAGGTTCATCCTACAGAGAGTTAAACCAGGCTGCTGTTTGGAAGCAAGGATTCTGAAGCTTTGTCTGACATACTTTGGGCATGTTGCGAGGAGGGACCAATCCTTGGAGAGGGACGTCATGCTTGGGAGAGCGGAGGGACAGGGCAGGAGAGGAAGACCCTGAATGAGATGGATTGAGCCATTGACTGGGATAATGGGGGGTGGCGGTGTCGGAGACAGTGCGATTGGCACAGGATAGAGCAGGGTTTAGGGCTGTTGTCCACAGGGTCGCTATGAGTCCCAGGTGACTCGACAGCACCTAACAACAACAACAACAACAACAACAGCAGCAACCACAATATGGCTTAGGTCATAAGACTTTGTCTTCCATACTTCAGGCATGTTGCTGGGAGAGGCTATTCTTTGGACAGGGACATTGTGCTTGGGGAAGTGGAGGGTCTGCAAAAGAAAAGAAGACTCTTACCTGATGGGATTGATACAGTGACTGTAGCAATGAGCTTGAGTGTGTTAGAGATGGTCAGGATGGCATGGCGTAGGACAGGGTTCAGATCTGTTGTTCATAAATAGGGTCGCTATGGGTTACACTCAACTCAAGGGCACCAAACAACAGCAGTAGCACCTTATGGAGCTCTGGTGGCTTAGTGGTAAGGAGTTGTGCTGCCCACCCAAAGGCACATGGTTTGAATCCACAAGCTACTCTCTGGGAGAAAAGATGGGTAATCTCCTCCTGTGTGATTTCCTGCCTCTGAAAATCCACTGGAGGTTCAGCTGTGGGTCGGTCCCGACTCAGAAACAATGGGCCATGTGGCAGTTCTCTGTTCAGTTTTTTAAAAAAATTATTATTATTATTATTATTATTATTATTAATTTGGATTAAAATTTAGATTTTGGATTTCCATTCATTCACTGTTGCACTTTTCACCCTGCCCCCCACCTTCACTCTTCTCTTTGAAAAGTAAAAGAAAAAATTCTTTCATTGTTTTACAGTCCCTCCCCCCAGGTCCACTCCGCTATGCAGCCTTCGTTCTGGACTCCTGTCATGACAATAATACCTAATCATATATCCCTTTTAAATAGTTCTCTCTTTCATCTGTTTCAATGCAGTCTACATTATTTATCCCGTCTTTCTCAGTCTCCTCCCAACCCTGATGTCAGCCCCGTTTTACAACAGTAGCACTATACAGTATTTGTCCTTTTGTGACCGAGATATTTCAGTCAGCATATGTCCTCCAGGGTCACCCATTTTGAATAATATTGCATGAGTTCCTTGTTTTTCAATGCAGCGTACTATTCCATTGTGTGAATATACCACAGCTTCTCCATCCATTCATTTATTGATGGGCATTTAGGTTGTTTCCAACTCTTTGCTATTGTGAACAAAGCCGCGGTAAACATGGGTTCAGTTCAGTTTTTAAGGAACCGACAAACTGTTCTTCATGGTGACTGTGTCATTTTACAGCCTGACAAGCAGCCGATGAGGCTGAAACGGTGCATTTGTTCAATCAGTTCATGTGTTTATGACACAGTCCCGTATCAAGCCAGAGTATCTCAGCTAGTGCTTGGGCCTGCTGATTTGATCTTCACCACCCCACCCCACAAGCAACCACTGCTCTGATTTCTATCGTTACAGGTTAGGTCTGCTAATTCTAGGATTTCACCAATGTTATCTCTTATATTTTTTTTTTTTAACGTAACATTTCCTGACTGATCATAGTGTGCTTGTATACTGACGTGCTGGGGGTGCTGCATTAATAACATATATTAACGTTATATCAAGCGATATTGAGAAATTGTTTTAGTCATCCTAGAAATTTTCCTGAATATTGTTTGGGAGCTTTCTGTGTTTGCAACCACGCCTTCTGCAGAAACAACTGTTGTGTTTCCTTTTTGCTTTTTTTCATGTTTAGGTCTTATCTTGATGCTTTTGAGGCGAGACCTTCAGTACAAGGTTGAATGGCTGTTGTTAACAGTTGTGAGGTCAGCCCCTGTCTCCTGGTGACCATGGACGTGGAGAATAAAGTACTGCCCAGTCCTGGACCGTCCCTTTGATCGGACCATTCTGATCTATTGGGTTTTCGCTGGCTGAGTTTTGGAAGTTGATCAGCAGGCTTTTGCTCCTATCTTCGCAATATGCAAGCCTCTGCTGACAAGTGGGTGTGGGCTGGGCATGAAGTACATTGGGCTGAGGGGGGGAGACAGGACGTGAACCCAGGTCCTCCCGTATGGAAGGCAAGAATCTGGCCACCGAGCCACCACGGTCCTTTTGTGGATGCACCAGTTTGTCCATTCTCGCTTTGAGGAGCCCTTGGGCTGTGTCACAGCTTTCAGCAAGGACGACTAGAGTGGACGCTTCACTGTATGGGTCTGTATCGTTTGGAGATTTCATGTGAACGGGGTCATAGACTGACTTTGGAGCAGGGCATGTTCTCAGTGAGCTGGACTGGCAGGCACAGTGGCAACCATGGCGGCCTCAAGCCTTAGGGTTGTGAGAACGGCGCCAGCCCAGGCCGTGTTTCCTTGTGAACGGGGCTCCCTGTGACCTGGAGCTGACACACAAGGATGCCTGACAACAATCAACATCAACATCAGCTCTGGGACTCTGGGTCCACACTGGGACGTCACCTAGAACATCGGCGACACGGGAGAGGCTGTGTGTGTGTGTGTGTGCGCGCCCGCGCGGGGGAGGCTGGTGGATGGGAGAGTGTCAGACTTTCTTAGAGCTGGGGAACTTAGTGAGGACTGGTCCTCTGGGACAGCTGGATGAGCTGATGCTGGGTAAGGATGAGGGCAGGAGGTCTTTCTTTTATCAGAGCCTCTATTCCAAAAGCCAGAGGGCCCCCACCCCAGGTGGCATAGAAGTTTAAGCGATTTAAATTCATCCAGAGGTGCCTCAGAAGAAAGGCCTGGCACTCCTCTCCCCACACTTCAGAGCCTTGAAAACTTAATGCAGCACAGTTCTATATTCTGCCGCGTGGAGTCTCCTTCAGTTGGAATTGACTCGGCAGCAAAGAACAGCATCAGAGGCTCACTGCTACCGTGTTCATTGTTTCCGCTACAACCCCACCAAACTGAGTTATAGTGAAAGTAACCATTGGGCTGCGAAATTGCAGGGCTTCAGGGGTCCAGGGGGATGTCACGTAAGCAGAATCAGGTTGTTATCGTCAGTTTCCACTCAGTTGATTTTGACTCCTCGTGACTCCATGTGACAGGATACGCCCACAACAAGACGAACTGACACGGTGACGGCACAAGGGGCTTAAAATACAGCAGACTTTGTGAGGATTGGGCCAGGTTTCCATGTGCTGGCTAGAGAGGGGCTGTGTGTTGGCATGAACACAGCAGCACCCAATAACTACAGTGACCATCATGACGTGTTTATTGGTCCAGCTACGAGGATTTTTGATCTTGAGGTGCCGTCCACACCGAAGGCTGTACTTTTTTGATCTTCATCAGTAAGTGCTTCGGTCCTTTTCACTGTCTGCAAGCAAGCTTGTGCCATCTGCATATCACAGGGAGGCAGTGAGTCTCTTCAGTTAATGCCAAGTCTTCTTGTGGCATGAAACTGCACTGCAATCCCAAAGGCACATGGCTCGAAGCCACAAGCTGCTCCCTGGGAGAAGGATGGGTAATCTCCTCCTGTGCGATTACTGCCTCTGAAAACTCACTGGAGGGTCAGCTATGGGTCAGTTCTGACTCTACGGCACACAGCACACAGATTGAATAGGTGTGGTGAAAAGATGCAAAGCTGACACGTATCTATCCGGAATTTATCACTCTTGCAACAATGCACTGTTGTCTGGCTGGACCACATTTGTTTATTCATTCATCAGTTGATGAATGTAGGCAAATCCACAGAGATACAAAGCAGATCAGTGGTTGCCAGGAGGGGCAGGCAGGGTGAGGAGCGACTGTCGATACTGACACGATTATTATTACTTTATTTCAGACAGGATTATTTTTAGAGTGATGGAAATGTCTTGGGCATAGATGTGGTAGTTGTGTCACATTGTGATCGTACTAAAAACCGTAGAACCAACCTGTTTATAATGTTTAAAACCTCTAAATCATGGGGAGCTCTGGTGGCCTAGTGGCAAGGAGCTGCAACTACAATCCCAGAGGCGCACGGTTGGAATCCACCAGATGCTCTGCCGGGGAAGGAGGGACAATCTCCTCCTGTAACAGTCAGATCTGATTTGATGGTACACTCACACAAAAATAAAAAAAATAAAAAACAAACCAAAACAAACAAACCTCTAAATCAAACACATTGCTGAGGAGTAAATTCTGATTCCTAACGACCCCAGATGAGCAAAGCTGCTCTACAGTTTTCACGGGCTGTCTTTTTTCAACAATAGACAGCCAGGGCTTCTTTCCAAGGTGCCTAGGGATAGATTCAAACTGCCAGCCTTTGGGTTAGTAGCCAAAGAGTTGTTTGCACCACTCAGTTGTTTAGGTGTTTTGTTGTTTTTTTAAAAATAGTTAGCAATTAATTTGATGTTAGGTGAATTTTATCTCAATAATGAAATAAGAAGTTCACAGATAGGACAGCTTCAGGTACAGCTTGATCGAGCTTCAGAGGCAGCATGGTCTTTACCAGAAGAGTCTGATTGTACCTTCTTTTCCTCTCCGCACCAATCCCCACCCAGGTGTGGAGTCCATACTTCCCTTGTCCCGTCACCCCCCAACACTCAGTCTTTTTCTCTCTCTCTGCAGTTCTTGTGCCTTAAGAATATACGCACCTTCTTATCCACCTGCTATGAGAAGTTTGGCCTCAAGCGGAGCGACCTCTTTGAGGCCTTTGACCTCTTCGATGTGCAGGATTTCGGGAAGGTGGGCTGCCTATGAGTTGGGTGCAGAAAGCCCCAGTGATTGGGGTTCAGTGAATTTCCAGTCAGGTCTACCTTGGGCTCGCTAAGGTCTGGGGACAGGAAGAACAGAGGACCGAGGCCCAGACCAGGGTTCAAGTCCCTTCTGTTCTCCTGTGACCCTCAGTCTCTCATCACTGCCCCCTAGTGACTGGTGAGGGGTCAGTGGAACACTGAGCTGCAAGTGGAGGTGGTTCAGTTAATGAGGAGCTGGCCTGAGGGGGTGGGAAGGAGGAGAGAATCCCACTGAGGCTCTGGGAGGCCTGGGACCCACCTGTCTCATGGACTTTCTTGTCACCTCATAGGTCATCTACACCCTGTCTGCTCTGTCCTGGACCCCGATTGCCCAGAACCGGGGTATCGTGTGAGTAATCACCTGAACCAATTCTACCCGACTCCCTCTGAAGCCTCACTCCCACCCGATCCCCAGGCTGCTGGTTCACACCCTTTTGCTCCCCCAGGCCCTTCCCCACCGAGGAGGAGAATGTGGGTGACGAGGACATCTACAGTGGCCTGTCCGACCAGATTGAGTGAGTGTCAGGCTGGTGGGGGCAGGGCTTGATCAGTACCTGTCCAGCAGCTCTGAGGAGGGAGACAGGCCCTACCCAATGGGTGTGAGGGAGAGACAGACTCTACTCTGTGGGTCTGGTTGGGAAACAGTCCTTACTCTATGGGTCTGAGGGGAGACAGGCTCCTGCCCTGTGGGTGTGAGGAGGGGAGACAGACTCTATCCTCTAAGTCTTAGTAGGGACACAGATCCTGACCTGTGGATCTTAGGGGGAGACGGGCTGTACTCTGTGGGTCTGAGGCGGGAGACAGGCCCTGTCATATGGGTCTAGAAAGGAGAGACATGGTCTTGTCCAGTGGTTCTGAGGGGGGAGACAGGCCCTTCCTTGTGGGTCTGAGGGGGAGACAAGCCCTACCCTGTGGGTCTGAGGGGGAGACAGGACCTACTCTGTGGGTCTGAGGGGGAGACAGGATCTACTCTGTGGGTCTGAGGGGGAGACAGGACCTACTCTATGGGTCTGAGGGGGAAGACAGGCCCTGCCCTGTGGGTCTGAGGGGGAGACAGGCTCTATTCTGTGGGTCTGAGGGAGATACAGCCCTTACCCTGTGAGTCTGAGGGGGGAGACAGGCCCTGTCATATGGGTCTAGAAAGGAGAGACATGGTCTTGTCCAGTGGGTCTGAGAGGGGAGATGTGGCCCGCACTGTGAGTCCGAGGTGACATGGACCTGCCCTGGTGGTCAAAGGGGACATGGCCCTTCCTCAGGGAACTGAGGGAACACGATCTTGTCCGGAGGATCTGAGCAGTCACCATTCTGCCCTTCAGAGTCGGAGGAGACAGGGTCTACCTGGGGGTCTGTGGGGGCACAACCCTGCTATGGAAGTCTTGGGGAGGGGGGAGAAGTGGAACACTGACCTGATCTTGGGGCTTCTGAGGGGACCCTGGTCTGGGGCCCCATTCTGACCTGACTCGGTGCCCTTCAGCGACACGGTGGAGGAGGACGAGGACCTGTACGACTGTGTGGAGAACGAGGAGGCCGAGGGCGATGAGATCTACGAGGATCTGATGCGCTCGGAGCCCGTGGCCATGCCGGTGTGGACGGGGGGCCTGGAGGGTGGGCTGGGGTTGGGCGGGAGGGGGGCAGGGAGGGCCTCCCATCACTGGCTTCTCTCCTCCCGCCCCCAGCCCAAGATGACGGAGTATGACAAGCGTTGCTGCTGCCTGCGTGAGATTCAGCAGACGGAGGACAAGTACACGGACACGCTGGGCTCCATCCAGCAGGTGGGTGCTGGGCGCCCCGCGTCTGTGTCCATCATCTGTCGGGGTCGTCCTCGGCACGTGAGGGCCCCACTGTCTCCAGGGTGCCCGGGGCTCTGCCTTTCTCCTCTCCTGCGTGTCTGGCTCTCTTGTGTCTGCGTCTCCCTCATCTCTGTTTCTGTCCTTTGTTTTCATGACTTTACTCCTCTCTTCCTGTCTGTCTGCCTGTTTTTCCGTGAGTTTATCCCTTTTCTCGTCTGTTTCTTTTTATCTCCTTATCTCTCCTCCCTGTCTCTCTCATTCCCCATCTCCTTACCTCTGTTTATTCTTTTTTTCCTCCATCCATTCCCTCTTTCTTCACTGTCACTTAACTCTGTCGTTAAATACCACTGAGTGGACTTCCACTCCCAGCAGCCCCAGGGGATAGAGTAAAACTGTCTGTGGGATTTTCTAGGCTGTTGCCTCTATGAAAAGGAATTCCTTGGCTGTTAACCAAAGGGTTGGCATTTCGAATCCACCAGCAGCACTTCGAATCTACCAGACCACTGCAGGAGAAAGGAGCTGGCAGCCTGCTCTGTGAGGATTTTGGCCTAGGAAACCCCACAGGGAGGTCTCTGCTCTGTAGAACTGTGATGACTCAGAATTGATGCAATGACGTACAATATCAGTCATTACAGAGTCGGATCACACGTTCTTTTTCTGGTAGAACCACTGGATGGCTTTGAACCTTTCACCTTTCAGTCAGCAATCCAGCACTCAATTATTTGCATCACCAGGGCTCCTTTGCAACAGCTTTATTGAGATATGTTGTTGTTAAGTGCCATAGAGTCATAGACAACCCATAGTGACTCTATGGACTAAAGTCTTGTACGCAAAACTTTCATCTTTTCTCCAAGTTCACAGAATTTCCAGAGGCAAGCTGTTTTGGAAGTGGATGCCACTCCTGCTTCTAAGCCTGTTTTATTCAGGAGATCCACAAAAACAAGACCCAAGCCTTGTTAAAGGCGAGGCCAAATCCAATCAGCTCATACTCTATTGCAAGCAAGAGACGGAGAAAGATGGGATAAATTATGTATATTGCATTGAAACAGATGAGGAAGAGAACTGTTTAAAAGGGATATGTGATTAGGTATTATTGTCATGACAGGAGTCTAGAACGAAGGCTGCATAGTGGAGTGGACTTGAAGGGAGGGATTGTAAAACAATGAAATAATTTTTCTCTTACTTTTCAAAGAGAAGAACAAACTGGAGGGTAGAGGTGGGCAGAAACAAAAGTGCAACAATGAATAAATGGAAATAAAAAAAAAAATCAATCCACACCCAAGTCTAAACTCCAAACCAGAAAACACACCTTTGCAGAATCTAGCTGTTCCGCTCATCTTCCCTGCCTGGAAACAGCCCCTTACTGAGCTATTAAAATTAAAATACCACCCAATTCACCTACTTAACATACTTAGTGCACTTTCTTTTCTTCTTTTATTTTAGTATGGTCTTGAAATTACTCACAAAGTCTTGTGGAAACATTGTTGTTTATTATGTGCTGTCGAGTCATTTGCGACTCATAGCGACCCTATGTACAACAGCCCTAAACCCTGCTCTATCCTGTGCCAATCTCATTGCCTCTGACAAACCCATCCTGAGTACCCCAGTCACTGAATCAATCCACCTCATAGAGGGTCTTCCCCTCCTGCGCTGTCCCTCCACTCTACCCAGCATGATGTCCCTCTCTAAAGACCTGTCTCTCCTTACAACATGTCCAAAGTATGTCAGACGAAGCCCCAGAATCCTTGCCTCCAAGGAGCAGCCTGGTTTAATCCTCTCTACGATGAATCTGTTTGTTTTCTTGGCAGTCCATGGTACATTCAATACTCTTCTCCAGCACCACAGCTCAAAGGCATCAATTCTCCTTCTATCCTCCCTAGTCATTGTCCAACTCTCTGATGCATAACAAGTGATTGCAAAAACCATGGCCTGTATCAGGCGGACCTTAGTCTCCAGAGAGACACTGTTGCTCTTGAATACTTTAGAGAGGTCCCTAACCACAGACTTTCCCATCGCAATACGTTTTTTTATTTCCTGGCTACTGGTGCCAAGAGTGGAAACATTATGCCATGTAATTTCAGAATATTTCAAACATCCCTTAAAGAAATCTTATGCCCATATTAGCAGGACTGCTCTTTCCTCTTCCCTCCCAATCCTTAGGTAACCACTAATCCACTTCATGTTTCTGTGTCTTGTGGAGATTGTTTGTAAATGGAACAATGCAATGTACCTGACTTCTTGGACCCAGCATAGCGTTTCCAAGGCCCTGCGTGCCATATCAGTGTTTCTTTCCTTTTTCATGGCTTAGCAGTGGTCCATTGTTTGTTTGTGCCACATTTTTTCCTTTTTTAAAATTATTATTAATTTAAATGAAAATTTACAGGGATTTTGGATTTCCATTCATTCAAACAGTTCTCTCTCTCATCTCTTTCAATGCAGTATATATCATTCCTCCCCTCCTTCTCTGTCTTCCTTCAACCCCGATGTCAGTCCTGTTTTACAACAGTGGCACTATGCAGTATTTGTCCTTTTGTGACTGAGGTATTTCACTCATGTGCCACATTTTGTTTATTTAGACACCTCTTGGTGGAGAGTTGAGTTGTTTTGATCGAGAGTTGTTTCTTTTTGGTGATTGTGAATAGTACTACAGAGAACATTTGTGGCCAAGTTTTTGATGGACTTTCTCCATCTTCATTTCCTTCTTTCTATGTATCTCTAGTCTCTTTCTGTCATTTTCTGTTTCTTTGTCATAATTCCTTGGGCTGGGCTGGAGGTAAGGGATATCCTGTTCTCTCATCCCTCTCTCTGCTCCCTGCAGCATTTCATGAAGCCCCTGCAGAGGTTCCTTAGATCCCAAGACATCGAGATCATCTTCATCAACATTGAGGTGAGCCTACCCATTGCTCCTCAGTCCCCTGGATCTCAGTCCCTGTCTCCGTCTTCTGCAAGCCCTGCTTGGGTTGGGAGTTAAGCAGCATAGCATGGTCTCTTGCTGTTGTGTGCCGTTGAGTCAGAACCAACCCACAGCTGACCCTCCAGTGGGTTTTCAGAGGCAGTTAATCGCATGGGAGGAGATCGCCTATCCTTCTCCCACAGAGCAGCTAGCTGGCTTTGAACCATGTGCCTTCAGGATTGCAGTGCAGCTTTTTGTCACAAGGCCACCAGTGCTCCCCGGTGGTGTTTCTTAGGAACTATAACACAAGCATTGACATCCCTGGGTGCTAATGCAAGCGGTTAAGTGTCTAACTACTAGTTGAAAGGTTGGCGGTTCAAACCTGAAAGAGGTGCTTCAGTCAGTAGCCTTTGCTTCTGAAAGATCACAACCCTGAAAACCTACAGAGTATGGCTCTGCTGAACACACGTGGAGGCACCGGGGGCAGAATGTATTCGACGGCATCTGGTAACAACAGCAGTACCGCAAGTGGATGGCTTTAGAGAACAGAGATTTGTCTTCTCAGAGCTTGTAGTTAGGGACCATTGAGTCGACTACGACTCCTCGAGTTCCTATGAACAACAGAGGGAACCCTTGTCATCCTGTGCCATCCTCATGTTCTCATGCTCAAGGCCATTGCTGCAGTCGCTGTGCCAATCGATCTTGTTGAGGGACGTCCTGCCCTTAGCTGACTCTAATCTTTTCATTATCATGCTTTTCCCAAGGACCAGCAGGAGTGGCATCCACTTCCTAAACAACATGCCTCTGGAAACACGCCTATGAATTTTGAGAAACGATAATAGTTATTGAAAGGCTTCAGGTCTTTTGTTCATAGGGTCACCATGAGTCGTGCTCGACTCGACGACAATCAGAACAACTAAAAGCCCTTCCTAACAACATGCTCAAACTGTGTGAGGTGACGTTTCCTGATCTGTGCCTGTAAGACACACTGTGGCTGCATTCCTCCCATACAGAATTGTTTGGTTGTTTTTTGTGCCAGACTGTGGTATATTCAGTACTCTTCACCAACACTGCAATTCAAAGGCATTGATTTTTCTTCAGTCTTCCTTATTCATTGTCCTACTTTCAGATGCTTGTGAAGCAAATGAAAACACCTTGGCTTGGGTCAGGCACATCTTACTCTTTAAAGTGACATCCTTACTCTTTAACATCTTAAAAAGGTCCTTGACAGTGGAGTTCCCAAGTGCAGCACGTCTTTTGATTTCCTGACCGCTGCTGTCAAGGCTGGTCTTTGAGAGGAAAGCCCTCACTGTGCTTTCTTGGGACAGGCATCTGTGACCCTGGAGTTCCTTGGTTCCTTTATGGGCCTCACCTGTGATCCATCTTCCCCCCCGTCCAGCGTGCCCACTCACATCTCTATCTACCCTACTCCTTTCTTTAAGCAAATGACAGCTATAGCCATCCTGCACATTTTAATTAATAAAAAAAGGAACATCATTTGTACGAAGTGTACTATTGCATTTATTTGTTAATTATTCAGTAATGCATAGGAAAAAAAAGGATGTAACATTCCAGAGAACATAATATTTTTTTTTTGTGCATTTTTTCATGTTTAACAATTCGGAATATTTCCGCCTTTGAGAGTTTTCATGGAAAAACTGTGACAAAACGTAATAATTTTCACTTCCAAACATACGACTGACGCTCAATTTCATATAGCAGTCATAAACAATTGAAAAAAAAATTATGTTTCTGAGCACAGTTGTCAATTTAAGTGTGCGGCAATGTTTAAGACACGTCCTCCATTCCCATGGCCTCGTTAACCCCTCAAAGAGAACACTATTCCCAAATGGGGTTACACCTGTTGGTCAACCAGTCTCCATACCAGTCAGTTATGGTTCATGGCGACCTCATGTGTGTCAGGTTTTCAAGGCTGTGACCTTCCTGGAAGCAGATTGCCAGGACTTTCTTCCAGGGCACTTGTGGGTGAGTTCAAACTGCCAACCTTTTGGTTAGTGGTCAGACAGTTAACTGTCTGGGCCACTGAGGGACTCTCTTCACAGGTTTGAGGTCAAATGATCAGCACATATTCTGGGGGGACATCTGTGGATTTTAAATGATCCCTCGCTCACTTGGCTTGCTGTGCCCTGCTCCCCCTGGCTTCAACCCTCACCCCTCTCTCCAAACAGGACCTGCTTCGAGTGCACACGCTTTTCCTGAAGGAGATGAAGGAAGCCCTGGCCGCTTCCAGCGCTCCCAACCTCTACCAAGTCTTTCTCAAGTACAAGGAGAGGTGAGATTGCTGTCCAGCCCGGGCTGGGCCTTGCTGAGCGGGCTCTCGAGACCACTGGGCAGGGAGGAGAATATTGACGTGCGCTCACAGCCAAGGGCCTGGTACCCGGAACCACCACCTGTGAGCTGTGTGTCCCTGGGAGGTTCTTAAACTCTCTGACATCTGCTGCCTTACCTGCAACATCAACGTGTCCCAGGCACAGCTCCTGGGCCTAGTGCCTCTCATACTGGAGGATTAAGGTCATGGTCTTGAGGGAAAAGCCAATCAGTTGTCATAATACTGGATTTTTGGTTTGTATTTTTTTTTTTAAAATTTTCTCTCTCTCTCTCTCTTTCTCACTCTTTTGCTCTCTCTTGTTCTCTCTTGCTCTATCTCTCTCCCGCTTTCTCTTCCTCCCTCCCTCCTTTCCTTCCTTCCTTTCTTTTTAGCAAGGTCAACTTAAGCCGTCAGCCTTGGCCAAGCTATGAGCCTTGACATTTTATTCTTTGATACAGAAGCAGTTATGCTGTTGTTGTTAGGTGTTGTTGAGCTGGTCTGACTCTGACTCTGACTCTGCCCTGGCCGCACGGTCCTCGCCCGCTGTTACGGCCACTGCGTCAGTCCCTCTCACTTAGCGTCCTCCTCAGTTTCTCTGACCCTCTGCTTCACCAGCTGGGAGAAGGATGGGCAGTCTCCTTCCCATTCACTGCCTCTGGAAACCTGCTTGGAAGGGGCGGGGTCAGCAGTGGATCAGTTAGACTTGATGGCACATAACAACAACCACCACCACCATCACCACCACCACTCCACCCAGCATGATGTCCTTCTTCAGGGACTGCTCCCTCCTGACTACATGCACAAGTATGAAAGGAAAAGTCTCACCCTTGCTTCTAAAGAAGATATTCTGGGAACTGGAAAAACAATCTTTTTTTTGGTCTTCAAACAATAAAAACCCAAACAAACTCACTACCTGGGAGGCCCTTCCAAGGCATCGGAATCCTCCATTGGGTTTCTAAGAGTGTAGATCTTTATAGGAGGAAACTGCCCTTCTTCCTCCCTCGGAGCACATAGTGGATTCGAACTACTGATCTTTCACTTACCAGCGTAACACTTTGCACTCCAGGGATGTTCAGCCAAACAATAGACAGACCTGCAGAAGGTCAAGGACTGAAATCTTCAATACGGATTGAAGCTCATTAAAAAAAAAACAAAACAAAAAACACCCAACAACTACAAACAACCCACTATGCACATCCATGTTTATTGCAGCTTTGTTCACACTAGCAGAGAGCTGGAAACAACCTAAGTGCCATTAACAAACAATGGATGGAGAAGCTCTGGTATATTCACAATGGAATACGATGTTGCATTGAAAAACAAGGAATTCATGAAATATTATGCAAAATGGATGACCCTGGAGGACATTATGCTGAGTGAAATATCTCAGTCACAAAAGGACAAATGTTGCATAGGGCCACTGTTGTAAAACGGAACTAACATAGAAGTTGAGGGAAGACAGAGAAGGAGGGGAGGAATGGTGTATATTGCATTGAAACAGATGAGGAAGAGAACTGTTTAAAAGGGGTATATGAATGGGTATTCTTGTCATTACAGAAGTCCAGAGTGAAGGCTGCACAGTGGAGTGGACTTGGGGGGAGGGATTGCATAACTATGAAAGAGTTTTTCTTTTAAAGGAGAAGAGTGAATTAGGGAGAGGGGGTGAGCAGGGAGAAAAATGAAACAATGAATGACTGGAAACCCTAAGTCTCTGTAAACTTTCATTAAAATTAATAAAAAAACAAAAAACACAATCTAATAAAGATTCTCACCACTGGGCCAGCTGGCAGCACCATGATAGATGAAAAAGAGATTGAGGTTGTTAACAATTTCAGCTTGCTCAGATCCACAATCAACATACTTGGTATCAGCAGTCATGAAATCAAAAGATGAATTGTATTAGGAAAATCCTCTATCAGGGACCTCTCCAGAGTTCTAAAGAGCAGTAATGTCAGCCTAGAGACTAAGGGGTGCCTGATCCAGGCCATTGTCTTCACAATTACTTGCTATGCATCAGAGAGCTGGACAATGACCAAGGATGACAGAAGAATAATTGATGCTTTTGGGCTGTGGTGCTGGAGAGGAGTATTAACATACCATGGAGCACCAGGAGAACAAATAGGTCTGTCTTGGAGAGGGTGAAGCCAAGCTGCTCCTTGGAGGCAAGTGTTTTGAATCTTTGCCTCACATACTTTGGGCATGTTGCCAGGAGGGACCAGTCCTTGGAGAAAGACATCCTTGAAAGAGTGGAGGGATAACACAGGAGAGGAAGACCCTGGATGAGATGAATTGGCCCAGTAACGGGGGTAATGAGGGTAGGTGTGTTGGAGACAGTGAGATTGGCTCAGGATAGGTCAAGATTCAGAGCTATTGTGCATAGGGTCACTATGAGTTGAAGATAACTCAGTGGCACATAATAGCAACAGCAACTTTTTTTTATAGTTTCTTTTTGTTCTTGTTGATAATACACAGAGCAGCACATGCACCAATTCAGTACTTTCTACATGGACAGTAAAAGCTATCAAAGCTAGACTCTATGTAAGGTGGAAACTTGTCAGGAAAGGAAATGCAAATATTCCACTATTATAGAGCAGTAGACAAAAAAAAAACCACTTTCAATAAGTGTTGATGGCTGTAGAGGGGCTTCAGGCCTTTTATTCATGAGTTGCTATGAGTCTTGCTCAACTCAAAGGCAAACAACAACAACAACTGTACTTGCCAAAGATGGAAACTTATGAGATCTGGAGAAACAGTTCAGTCCTATCACATACGTCTTTTTTAGGTTTTCAGTAACATTGACTGTGTCCATTGAGTTGTATAATTCCCTCTCACCCTCTTTCTTCTAAATAATTCCTCCTTATAAACATAAGCTCACTAACCTTTACTTTCTAATTTAATGTTCAGAGTTATTGCTGCCAATTTTATCCCATATAGACAGACCTATGAAAAGCACAATACTCAAGGCCGATAATCTTCATTAGTTAAACGAAATTATTATGTGATTTTTAAAAAGTTGTCTATGGATATTTTTTGTTTCAAGTTTAAAGACTTCAAGGCACAGTTCCAGGGGGTCATCCAGCCTCTATGGATTCAGAAAGTCTGGATTCCATGTGACTTTTAAATACTATTCTTCATTCTTCATTATCCCTTCTTTGGGGAATCAGTGGCCAAAATGTTCACTAATGGTAATTGGGCACCGTATAGTTCTTCTGGTCTCATGGCAAAAGAAGCAGTTACATGGACAATTAGCTACCTACAGCACATAGTACTATTTTCAAAGGTTCTAGTACTTGCTTTGCATTTCTTTTTTAAAAAATTTTTTTAAATTATTAATTTCAATGAAAATTTACAGAGACTTTGGATTTCCATTCATTCATTGTTGCACTTTTCTCCCCTCCTAACCCTC